TATTATTTATTCTATGGATAGTTCTCCATGGCAGTGACTAAGGGGTAGGTGTTGCTATATCCCTTGGGACTGTGATATGGCTCAGGTATTGCAAACCTACAAAGAATTTGGATAGAGTTGGCTGTTTGTATTTTCTGCTTTTAAACTGGCTGTGACTGACCTCCAGCTCTCAGTAATAAGTCAAAATGGGGAAGTAAGTGTTACCTGTTGAACGAGGTAGCAGGGCATTGAGGGGAATAGGGGATCAGGAATTTCGTTATCTCATCACCAAGACCTATCATTATAGGTAAGAATCTTGGTATGGATCAGGCTTTCTACCCCCAAACCATCTCAGGTTAAAAAACATGTAAATATTAGTGAAGATCTTGGAGATGCTGTCTTTTAACGTATCTGTTCTTGGCATTACAGTGCTCCAGTCAAGACAGGTTACCTTCTGCTTTGGTGTAGTTTTTGTTTCAGAAGATAACAGTTACTCTTTTTGAAGGTTTTTTTCCTCTTACATAGGCTCTTGTTTGTTCTAAGTTGCTTTCTTCTGTGTTGGATTTGCTAATATTTTGTTGAGGATTTTTGCATCTATTGATATTTTCATGAGATATATTGGACTGTAGTTTTCTTTTCCACTAATGTCTTTGGTTTTAGTACTAGGGTAATACTGTCCTCATAGAATGAGTTACGAAGTATTTCCTCTGCTTCTATCTTCTAGATGAGATCGTAGAGAATTGGTATAATTTCCTCCTTAAATGTTTGGTAGAATGCACCATTAACCTGTCTGTGCCTGGTGCTTTCTATTTTGGAAGGTTACTAATTACTCGTTCAGTTTCTTTAATGGATATAGGCCATTTCTGACAGTGGTGTTGAAGTCCCCAGCTATAATAGTGGCTTCATCTGTTTCTCTTTGCAGTGCCATTACTTTTTATTTCAGTTATTTTGACAGTCTGTAGTTAGGCACTTGCATGTTAAGGATTGTTGTCTTCTCTGAGAATTGACCCCTTTACTATTATGTAATGCCTCTGTCCCTGATAATTTTCCTTTCTCCAGGGTTGGCTCTGTCAGAAATACAGCTACTCCCACTTCCTTGTGATTAGTATTAGCATGGTATATCTTTCTCCATCCCTTTATTTTTAATCTATATGTATCTTTATATTTAAAGTGGGTTCTTGTAGATGACATATAATTGGATTTCATCTTTTGATCCCTCTGACAATCTCTGTCTGTATTTAGACCATTAACATTTAAAGTGATTATTGATATTGTTGAATTAATATCTACCATATCTGTTAACAATTTTCTAGTTGTAGCCCTTGTTCTTTGTTCCTATTTCTTACACTTTCCCCCCTGCCTTTTGTGGTTTTAACTGAGCATTTTATGATTCCATTTTCTCTCTTTTTTTAGCATATCAGTTATACTTTTCTTTTTCTACTTTCAGAGTTTACAGTATACATTTACAACTAGTCCAAGTCCACTTTCAAATAACATTGTACCACTTAACTGGTAGTACAACTCACCTTCTAGTAGCAAACTATTCCTAATTTCTCTCTTTTGTTCCTGGTGTCCTTGCTGTGATTCATTTCACTATACACACGCCTGCACACACACACACACACAAATACGTATACACACACGTGTATACATGTCTCCTATATCCTCTCCTTGGAGAACTTTTTAAAACATTTCTTGCAAAGCCAGTCTGCTATCAACGGGTTCCCTCAATGTTTCTTAGTATGAAAAAGTCTTTATTTCTCCTTTTCTTGTGAGTAATTTCACAGGGTATATAATCCTAGGTTGGTGGTTATTTTCTCTCCACACTGTTTGATGGAATCAGTGGAATCAGTGTTTGATTCTATTCTCTCCACACTGTTTGATTCCATTCTCTCCTTGTTTGCATGGTTTCTGAGATGTCAGGTGTAACCATTATGTTTACTTCTGAATAGGAAAGGTGTTTTTTTCTGCTGGCTTCTTTTTAATTTTTATCTTTGATTTTCTGCAGTTTGAGTGTGATATGCCTAGGTGTAGAGGTTGGTTTGTTTGACAGTTATTGTGCTTGGTGTTCCTGGAGCTTCCTGGACCTGTGGTTTGGTGTCTGACATTAACTTGGGGAAATTCTGAGTCATACTTGCTTCAAATATTTCTTCCATTTCTTTTTCTCCTTCTTCTCTGGTATCCAATTATGCCTTTGTTACAGCTTTTATAGTTTCCCACATTCTTGGATAATCTGTTCCAGTTTTTTTCTCCCCTGCCAGTCATTTTTTCTCTTTGCTTTTCAGTTTTGGAAATTTCTATTGACATATCCTCAGGCTCAGAGATTCTTGCCTCAGTGTCCAGACTGCTGATGAGCCCATCAAAGACATTCGTTTCTGTTATACTATTTTTGATCTCCAGTATTTCTTTTTGATTCTTTTTTAGAATTTCCATATCTCTGCTTACATTGTCCGTCTGTTCTTGCATGTTACCTCCTTTTTCCATTAGAGCTCTTATTAGCATATTAATCATAGTCTTTAAAATTTCTGGTCTGATAATTCCAACATCCTTGTCATGTCTGAGTCTGGTTCTGATGCTAGTCTGGTCTCTTCCAACGGTGGTCTTTGCATTATAGAGTGTGGCTTGCTGGAAGCTGGAGAGGATGTACTAGATGAAGGGACACCAGCCTTTAGTGGTGTGAGGATCAGGTACTGATAGTCCTGTGATTAGGGCTCAGTGAGCCTCTGCCCCAGGGAGTGAATTTTCATGTGCTGCTCTCCCTTAAGTTGGGATGGGATGGCTGCAGTGGGCTGGAGTTGGATATTCCCCTTCTCCCACGTAGAAGGCTAGAGCAGGCTAGCATTGGGATTTCCCTTCCCCCAGGTGGGGTTAATCTCTGATAAAACTCTAGTTAGTTAGGGGCTGGTAAAATTGTTTCTCCTGAGAGTAGGCCTTGTTAAGAAGAGAATACTCTGGTGTATTTCAAAATTATCAGTTTCTCTCCCCCTGCTGGAAAAAATAGAAATTTTCTGTGATATTCACCTTGAGAACTTGGGAGAACCTGTGGAAGTAGAACTCACAAAAGGGCTTCCCTGGTAGTGCAGTGGTTAAGAATCCACCTGCCAGTGTAGGGGACACGGGTTTGAGCCCTGGACCGGGAAGATCCCACATGCCGTGGGGCAACTAAGCCCGTGCACCACAACTACTGAGCCTGCGCTCTAGAGCCCGTGAGCCACAACTACTGAGCCTGTGTGCCACGACTACTGAAGCCTGCACGCCTAGAGGCCGTGCTCTGCAACAAGAGAGGCCACCACAATGAGAAGCCCATGCACAGCAACGAAGAGTAGCCCCTGCTCATGGCAACTAGAGAAAGCCTGCGTGCAGCAACGAAGACCCAATGCAGCCAAAACTAAATGAATAAAACAAATAAATTTATTTTAAAAAAAAAAGCTCACAAAAGTGTGGGGGCTCCCCTAAGCCTAGGCTTCTCTGGAATTTTAACTCTCCGACTTGTGCACACTTCTCCTCTGGCAGTTTTGTCAGTTTCAGTTTAGATTTTTGTGCCCTGGTACTGGTTCCTGGAGATGTTTCTGCTTACGGGCTTCTGCTCTGTTAAGTTGTGATTCTGTGTATCCACCTATCTATTTGTCTCATTTTGGGGGCAGCAGTTTGCCCTGTGACCTCACTTCTGAGGCATCTAAGAAGAGTTGTTGACTTTTCACTTTGTTTACTGTTTTACTTGTTAGGATGAAGTGAATACTTCCAAGCTCCTTACATGCTGGACTGGGAAATGGAAGTAATTGCTTATTTTTGGTGCCTAAGTCTCAACTATACCTGGTATCTCCTTGTCTAGAAAATATATTTGCTTTACCTGCAGAAATTAAACCATCACTCATTTGCTCCGAGGGGGAGAGGTGATTGCTAGAGCCTGTAAGGAAGCAAAGTAGGAACTACCTACATTTCAAACAGCATTAACTGATTTTGCTAACTTGGAGGGCCTCTTTTTCTTCTTCATTCTCAATTGCAGACATTCTTTCTGCTATGAGTACTTGAACTTTCTGAGGATTCAACAGACTGGTTCTTTTTTTAAAAAATATTTATGTATTTAATAGATCTTTACCGGAGTATAATTGCTTTACAATACTGTGTTAGAGTGAATCAGCCATATGCATACATATATCCCCGTATCCCGTCCATCTTGAGCCTCCCTCCCACCCTCCCTATCCCACCCCTTTAGGTTGTCACAAAGCACCCAGCTGGTTCTTAAGGTTTTTTTTCTTACTGCCAATACAGGATTCACCTTTCTTGGGTCTTCAAAGTAGTTACCATGGATCAATGTTGTCCTGTAGCTTTTGAGATATTGTTGCTGTTATTGCTTCTCTCCTTGTGTGTTTGTGTTAAAGAAGAAAAAAGTCCCTTTATTGTAATTAAGAAAGGGATCTAAATTAGGTGATTTGGTTCAATCTGCCATACCTCTGTTGTTGTTTTTAACTTGTCAAGTTTTTATTTAAGGGAAAATATTCACTTAAAGCTTGGTTTTCTTTTGCTCAGCACCGCCCCCCACCCCCCCAAACAACAGAATCAGCAAAACTAGATAGTTAATTAATTTAATTACCTGAAACATTTTGATAGAGATCTGTGCCTAGTCATGCTCCTTTGCTGGCGAGTAAAGCTAAGAATTATTTGAATGAAAGTACTCCTTATTTTAGTCTTTCTGTGTGCAGAAAGGGATAGATTTGTGCACACGCGTGTGTGTATGCGCCTGCAGGTGTATTTTTATAACAAAAAATCAGTGGCCTATTTTTTTGATACTAAGTAACAAACAAATGAAGTATAAATGGGGAAAATAATTATGTTAGGTAATAAAGGTGCCCTACCTCCTTTTAAAGATGGACTTAAATACGTCAGATGTTGACAACTATTGTGATTTGTTGATATTTGATTATACTACAGTTTGGTAATTTGAATGCGATCGTTTACCTCTTAAAGATTTTTAAAAATATTGTGTCGGCGATTTCTTTTTATAATATACAGAGAAAGCAACCAGTGAGATGAATACTGCTGAGGATTGGGGCCTCATTTTGGATATTTGTGATAAAGTCGGTCAGTCTCGCACTGGGTAAGTGTTACAAAGTTTCAAAGGATTTTTATTTATTCTTCCTGTTTATTAACGTGAATGAAACAAGAGTTAGAAGGTAAAGCATACTGCAATCACAATTTAGTTTAAAAAGAGAATGTTTTTGCTAGTGAGATTTGAGGAATCATCCCATTTAGGCTACTCCCTGTAACCAGGAGGGGCAACAAGACTGGTAACAATGTTGATACTTTAATTATTCTCCCTTGTCCATAATTGCCTTCTGAAATCTAACTTTTCCCACTGATTTTTAAAAAAAATTTTATTGAAGTATTATAGTTGATTTACAATGTTGTGTTAATTCCTGCT